AATACAATATATGAACAAAATAAATGAAAAAATTGAACGACTGCCAAATTTCAACTTGACAATTTGTGAAAACTGTATGTATAGATGTATAACCATTAACCATACACAATTTTGATTTAGTATTTGTAATTTAATTTAACTTAGGTTATTTGGTTGAACTATTTTTATATACAAATTGTATCAGGTATTATTAGTATTAACCAAATACCAATACCTGTGAAGCATATTGCCTATAGTTGTGTTTAGGTTGACTAGCAATATTATAAACGTATCAACCATAYTCAGGTATATTCTATACGCTTCTAAGTCTGTATAAAATTCGAAGGAAACTGTTATCGGCTTACAATAATATTTCACCGATACCTGTAGTTGAATAAGTTCATTACAACGTGACAGTACTATCAAAATAAAAAAATCATCGGAATCAATATTCGGATACATAGAAACCAATTCAGTAGTTTAGAAACACTTCGGTGATCGAGAACCAACTCTTAGGCGTCAGTATAATGATATAAATCCCCCATAGGGTATTCGAAAAGGTCCGTTCTAATCACAAATATTATCGCAACGTTTCCGATCTTCCCGTATATTGTGTGACCGAATTAATACTCACAATTTGTTGCACCCGACAGATGCAAGCACCCCTGAAGAAGTGTATTTTCCACCTGGCGTGGTCACCGGATACACTGCCGACAACCGACGCCATCGTCCCGTTGCAGGAGTATCTGGATAGCCATCTGATCTCACTCAACATGAACCTCATACCAAAAAACTTCCACAAAGTGTTGAACGGCGTGTGGGAAGTGACAGTCTACGAGCTGGGCCACCAGATGGACGGTGGCAGTGGTGACACAAAGATGTCCGGTTTCTACGAAAGGCTGTACGAAGCTTTGGAACTGCTCGTAGAGTTCTTTCACGCCGAAGGCAAYGGGCTTCCGCCGGAAATTTTGACCGGAAGTAAGTTTTGACCATTTTRACTTCATTATCACTRAAGTATCATTTTAATATAAATGTCTCATCCAAGAAAAGTGCCTTATTTACAATCATATAACAATAAAAAACGTTACTTTGTAATATMGCTCTATATAATTTATTATCTTTACCTATGCGATCATACGAGTATATTACCAGTAGGTATATTGAATTTCTCATCGTGACWGTCATGAATCAAGATTTACTGACAGACAACCAAAACCAACGCAATACTGCATAATTATAATTTTATTACGATATTGTGCTTATTATTTACAATTTGAAGCTTTAAATACGAGGRTTAATGATTTTAAATACTTCAATAATACCGTTTTATTTTAAATGCCATCAATATGACATTGTTTATTTTTATGCGTTTAAAATACACAAATTGACCTTATAGACAGTATAAATACCAATATTTTATTATCATATTATATTTTACTACAATAATGTAAAACAGATAATAAAGTAAGATGCGTAACATAATATTATATAGACGAGAACACGTATAATAAAAATTTTCTGATTGCAAAATGTTATGATGATTAATAATTATCATCCAACCGAGTGACTTTGAGTACACTAATCGTTTTCGACAGACGTTTACAGGGCCGTGAAGCAGAGACTAAAACTGCACAAAACCGACACTGACACGTTGATTGAACTGTACTACGAAGATCGGTTGATGGAACAGCAGAGGGTGAARGAAGCAAACTATGGTGTGCTGTCAGTGCGAGCGTACTTCCATCACGATTCTCTGTGTGTGGAGGTGCTGAAAGCCCGTGACGTCATACCACTAGACCCGAACGGTAATCGTCATTTTACCATTCACATCTAAAACATTCTTTTTTTTTTTAACATGATACTAATAAAAGCAATTTATGTTTAACTCGGACACTTTTCATGTTTATTCAAATGTTGATATTTTTAGACGTGCTAAAAATCTATAATATGTGCTTAAATCTTAAACACCTATTTTCTAGTACATATTGATTTTTACTTAAAAGGTGACTTGTTGCACAAAATTCAAAAAAAATTTTTCCTACGAGTCGCTACTATCGGTTTATTTTCTAAAT